TTACGAGAAATACACAAATTCTTGTTTCCCTGAACACAGCAGGAGGTGGTTTCTTTCCTCACAGTTCCAAGCCCCTTTCCATTCAGCCCTTAGCCCCAAGGTCTCTCTCAGCTCTTGCTTGCTGAGCTTTTTCTCAGGATCAAGGTCACAGTGCTTCTCTGCATCTGGTGCTTCCTCACTGCCTTGTTGATGTGCTGTAATGTTTCTACAGGCTGTGTCTCCACACACACACAGTTCAAACTGAGCAAGCAATACCCACCCAAACCCCCTACTCCCAGGAGGCCATTTTCTCACTAGTCCTGCATAGCATGGCCTGTGTTTTGGAAAACAACTCTATTATTTCAATATTTTTTTCCACAATGAGCTTGAGTTTCTTATCTTTATTTTTATGATTACATCCACCAGCTTCAACCAGGTTTACCCCAAACCCTAGAATCACAGTATCATCCAAAACCCACCCACCCACCCACACAAGTGCAAACTGAGGGAACTACCCTGTCAAATCTGCATTAATCAAATTGGGATCTGAACTTCTGATAGTGTAGGGTGTCTTGAAATTTCAAAGCTGAAGTTTAGATCATGGTGCCAGCTGCATCCTAGCAGCATAGTCTATGAGGAAATGTTAGGATTTTTAAACTTCCATTGGAGAATAACAATTTCATGAGATCGTAAGTGGATAGGAAGAGTGCACAGCCATTCTGTGGCTACCTAATCTTATCTAATTATTATTACAGACATTTATAAGATGTCCATCACTGAATTATTTAGTCCCCATCACATCATTTAGATTGTCTCCAAAAACTAAATATATGTTCTGTTTCTGACCCCTCTCAGTGATGACACACCTTTCCTGAATGGATCAGAAAAGGAATCTTCTCAGCAAGAATGCTCCTTGCCAATGGAATTCAAACAGTTGCAGCTAATAAGGCCTGAATTAGCTACTACCTACAACATATTCCTAGATACCACTGTAGGATAGATGGGAAACCCTTTCCATTAAATTGTTCTCTAATTTCTCCCATTGGTTTCAATGGCACAGAGAAAGCTGTTAATTTATTCCTGCTGCATTAGCTTCCTATGAGCTGAACCATGGCTGGCCCCGGTATAGGTAAGCAAGAAGGCAAAAGTGTTAGGAGCCTCCCCACCCTGACCCACTGGGCCATACTGCAGGGCCAGGTCATATGGTGGTTTTGGACTGCAGGCTTTGCTCCCCGCTAAAGCCCCCATTGCTGACAGCTGCTTGCATGCAACACACTCCCCTCAGGTGAGGAACTACCACTCTAGCATGTGTTTCCCAGGAGGAATTTTGTTTGTGTGGCCTGTCTAGTGTATTTCTGCCTACAGAAGAGAGCTTCTAACTCTTCTTCTCCCTCTTAAATATTCTGACATATAATGAGGACATTTAGTAACAAGGATTTATTACTGAGATGTTTACTAAGGCTGTATTTAATTTATTATCTAGCCATTATTTAATATTAGGGGTGGTAATAGCACCTAATTGAAAGAAATATAAAAAATTACTGTTTCTGAAAAAGGTCTTATTTTTTGTTTGAAACTGATCTCCAGTTGTCCTTTATATAAAATCACTACTTTGCACTTTTAAACTGGATAATCCAATAGATTGAGAAATTCACAAATACTACCTGGTTCTTAAGATGTATTACTTAAAAACTCTTCTTGATTTTACTTCGTTACTTTATCTGCAACTTTTCACTAGTCCTGCTATGGTTTAAACTTTTGTCAGAATTTCCATTAAAACCTTCATTCTTCAGGTTTTACATCTCAATGCTTTTCAATGATAGGGTTTATGCTGTTGATCTTCATGCACTTTTTTTTTCTCTGTGCAGTTTAGAGCGTCTGCTCAAAATATCAAGACATTTTTAAAGCTAATTGCTAAGTACACAATTCTGCCATTCATTCCATAGTTTCACATGCCTTTATTTATTATGCATTTCATGTTTGTTATTTAGTGTAATCAATGTAAGCTTTTTCCACACATCAAACAGTTAGAGGAGCTGTAACCCCATACATTTACTTTCTTTGTTCTAAGCAGAAGGAAAACAAAACCAACTTTGACAGTACTTGAACAACAAAATACATGGTTGTATATAGAAAACAAAAAGTCATTTGTTAAGGCTGTGTAATCTAAATCTGACTTTTGTATAAAATAGCTACAATCAATGTCTGATGTATATTTTTCAATGTCTTCCTACATAAGGTATAATACAAAATCCCTTTTGTGCAGTAAGGTCTTTTATATCATGAAAATAAATGATATTCACATGAACCCCTCCCTCCATGTTAAGTGACATTAGAGGTTTTCTGCTGCCATATGACAGACTGCCAAATCATTCCAGCCCCACAAGGGTGGAGAAGGAAAAAGGCAGAGAGGCAAGAAATCCCCCCTTGGGAAGAGAGGAGACTCCCTCCCTTTGCAAGCCCAATTCCGTTCAAATAACTTTTAATATAATTTAAGATGTGAATGAAGACAATAAATTCTGCCTTTTGTCCCTGGTTCAAGGGACACGAATGAAATCTGTGCTGCCTTCCATATGCCCCTTTTCCAATTGTCCATCTCCATCCATTTATTGCTGCCCTCAGAAAGAGGGCTATGGCCATGATTACACAAAATAAAATCCTCAAACAAGGTGTTTGTAACCAGATGGTTGCTCCAGTACGGTTACAAAATAATAATCTGTTTTACATAGTTTTAAGAAACACCCGAGTTCTTAGCTAGTATCTGTATGTGTTTAAATGAGACAAAATAACGGGTATAACAGAGGAATAGTGTAACTGTAGATGCAAATAGTCAAGAAAAAGACCTCTCATAAATAATACATCCTTACTAGAGAGAGACCTCATATTAACTCACTAAAGAGTTCAGTAGGTGTTGGATCAGGCCCCAGAAGAGGTATCAACATGCCAATAGCAGTGGAGATTATACTCCTGGGGGAATTCTGCGCCAAACAATTAAAAATTCTGCACACAATATTTTAAAATTTGGCAAAATTCTTCATATTTTATTTGTCAAAATAATACAATATAATGCCAGTTTCAATTATTTTGGTACTTTATTTCAAAATATGTCTGTAACAATACAAACAAACAAAAGATTCTGGTAATTTTTTTTTGGACAAATAGATTCCTTACTAGGCATATTAATACAGAATTTTGAGAAATTCATTTAAATTACAATACAGAACTGTGTGTGCACCCATCAGAAGCAGTGCAAAAGCTTGGGAGTTTCAGGAGTAACGGAGGAGCTGAGGGAGAGGAAAGGAGCCTGGAGTGAACCTGGAGGGTTGTTGGGTGTGGGTGGGAGGTTTTTTTTTGGCGGGGGAGGGAGCAGGATTGTTAGGGAGCCTCCCCCATGCAGACTCTGGATGATCACAAGCCTCTCCCATTCAATCAGGCACATCTGCCCCTGTCCCCGCATCCCTCCATCCTGATGGGTCCCTACAGCCCCCGTCCCCATGTGGCTATGCACCCCCACTCCCATTCAACCCCTGGCTCAACACTCACCCCCTAGCTCTGGAGCCCACTAGCGTCCCCCTCCCCCAGTCTGTCCTCCCCACTAGCCATTCTGAACCCCAGTCTGTGATCCCCCAGCAGCCCTGTGTGCCCCACTCTGTCCTAACCTGGCTCCACGGGCCAGGTGCTGTGATGAACTTCTACTCCTGGGGGAATTCTGTGCCACTGCATGCGCACAGAATTTTTTTTCCCCACAGAAAATATATTCTGCCCCAGATATGCTGCATTCATGCTGTTGGCTGTTCTGGCGCCACAGTAGCCTCTGGTGGGCGAAAGGCAGAACTGTAGCACTTCAGGGGCAGAATGTATTTTCTGTGAGGAAAAATAAAATTCTGTGGGACACATGAATACTGAGCATATACAGTCGCACAGAATTGCCCCAGGAGTAAGATTACCTCTATGCCATTTGCTACCCACTCTGAGTTGTTCCTTAAAGGCACAATTTAGCCCATCAGATGTCAATATGATGAGTAAACTGGTGCCATTTTTTAACATTCCACTTCTGATCATAAGCACATTTGAAAAACTGCACATCACTTCCTTCATTATTGATGTTCTGTAGCTAATTTGATGATAGAATCTTATAAAATTACAGAATTATCATCAGTTGCTTGTATTGTGGTAGCATCAAAAGATGTGATCAGGATTGAAGTCCTATTGGGCTATACACTGTATGAAGGAGAGCCACTTTAAAAAAGCATATACATTGAAGTCACTTTTGAGCAGTTATGTAAAGCTTTCCTAACAAAGCCTCAACTAGGAAAAAATCTATCAAGTTTTGGGTTTTGTTATCCATGCGAAACTCAGATCTGATTTGCAGAAAGCAACCTTGATCAAGTTTCAGGTGTTGGTGAGGGATTTAGGGGTTTGGTGGACCCACGTACATTAAGCAAACGCTAAGGTTTCAGGTGAGCTTTGCACTGAGATCTTGGCTTTGTGTAATATTTGTTGTAGAACTTTACAAGGAATCTCTACAAGCCAGAACAAGTGGGTTTCACACAGCTGTGCTCTCAAGACCATAAAAGCATGTCTACACAGCAGTTAAATACATGAGGCTAGGCTGGGTCAGCTGACTCAGGGCTGTGGGGCTTTAAAATTGCAGTGTAGATGTTCAGGCTCTGGGACCCTCCCACCTTGCGGGGTCCCAGAGCCTGGGCTCCAGCCTAAGCCTGAACATCTACATCGCAATTTTACAGCCTTGCAACCCAAGCCCCCTGAGCTTGAGTCAGTTGATCCAAGCCAGTCGCAGGTGTTTAACGGCTGTGTAGACATTCCCTAAGAGTCTTGGCATCATGCAGATGAAAGGAAGGAAAGGCAGGCAGTTCTTCTTTTCGAGTGTAAATTTTGAAGATTAAAAAGCACAGATATTAAAAAGACTAAAAGTCTGCAACATTTTTCCATTATACTATGTCACACTGGGCAAAGTGAAAGTCCCAGCTGTAACGCTTCATGCCACATTCTCAGTGTCTTCCTCAAAATAGGCTAGTTTGGTTCCTGTTGCTACATATTTGATGTTCTCGATTTCCCCGCCGCCATTGCTAGGCTTCTGAAAATGAATTTCAATCATGTCCTGCATGCTCTCCTCATCCTCCTCAACCTCTTGGATTCCTGACAGCAGTATGGTCCTCTTGGAAATCCCAGAAAATATCTGGTAAGGAGGAAAACACATTGTATGTTCAGTTTCAGGAATTGATAGGTTGCACAGTTAAAAATGTCACTGTGAAGATATTGCTACAAGCTTGCCTTTCATTTTAGGATTTCTACTATGGTGTTGGTCTAGTACTAAAATCAGTGGGAGGTTGGAATTCTATAGAGTCAAACAATCCTGGATATTTGCATCTGGGCCAATACACACTGGAGTGCATATTACAAATATGGGAACAGAGCAATCATTTCTAACCTCATAGGTAGATGGATAAAACTTTATGCAGAGAAAAACAGCTTACTGAGAATCCACTGATATACATGAACTGTGGGGTTTTGCAGAGAGGATTTACCGTTTGTAAAACTTTTTTGGGTGCTTTTAGTTTGATTGGGAATGTTGGTATAATATACCCATTAGCCACAGCACAGGTAATGAGGGATTAAATTAATGCTAGATTTAGTGGTACTTTTATGATATGGACACCGATTCATCAATTGTGTGTAACTTAAATGAGAACAATTAAGCCATAAAACACCTGATGGAACCCTATCTCTGCCCTGACTGTAGCACAGACCCAACACTGGTTACTGCTGTGACACATGATCAAAAAATCATTTGTGTGAGTGAATTACAACCCTCATATTGTAGGTCATAAGATCATCAACAGAGGAACAGGCTATGGGGGACTCTCTGCAAGGAGTGAACAATCTGTAAAGCTCACAGCTCCTGTGTCCCAGAGGAGCCTAGGGCCAGGTTGGTAGATCTACAGCAATGTGAATTCACCAGCAAGCTCTTGTATACACCCACCTAAAATGAGGCAGAAACAGCTGCTCTGAGAACACAGCAGTTTTCCTGCCATTCCGTGACCTGAGGGGAAGATTCTGATCACAATCCACCCTCCCAGAGCACAGATTGTTTGCTATTTTAGAATGTAGTGTCAATAGGATTAATTTACCTGAAATTTTTCCAAGTGCTTTTCTACGCTTGGGGAAACAGAAAGCATAAAGCGCTTTTCATTTATGCAGAAAGGATGCTTTGTACATCTCACACAGTTGTCAGCAACTAGAACAAAAAATTCAAAAGTGGAAAATAAAATTAATGCTATCTAAGGTGTATTTTGTAAGCACATCAGAAACAAGACCAGTCCTTTTAGTATATAGTTAGAAACTAAATACAATTTTGTAAAGTTTACTATTTCAAAATTGTAATTGACTTTTATGACAAAACAGATGTCAATTAATTGTCCACTAAAGTTTATGGACCAAATCTACAGCTGATGTAAATTAATGCAGATCCACTGATTTTAGTGGAGTTTCACACATTGACCAGCTGAGAATCTGGGTAACTTTCAATGGCATGACATGACAAGTATATTTTCCCACTTTTCTCTTTCCTGTAAAATGAAGTCCAGTAACGCAAAGGCAGAAGAAGTTTTGAATACTGTAATGTGAGGGGGGAAATATCAAAGCTTACAAGCTGTGTATGAATTCATATTTGATCCAAAAGGAATGTGATTAAACACAGCTGTGTTTAAAGAACTATGGGCCTGAGTCTCTTCTCATTTACAGTGGAATAAATAAGGAATAATTCAGCTGAAGTCCATGCAGGTCCATCAGGGTAAAAACAATACAGATGAGTGCAGAATCAGGCCCTGTAACTTTAGCTAAAACGATGTCATATAAAGTACCTCCAGGTTTGAGGAATGTAATAATGGCTGTGCGAGACCTTCTGTCATATCTCACATCCTTTACTTCTCCTCCTCCTTGTTTGGATTTGTAGAAATTCAGTTCTATTTTGTCTCTGATCCACTCATCGGGTATTGGTAGATGTGGTACTTCAGAAACATTGATCTTCTCTCCAGAAATTGTTACATGGAGCTAACAAAAAATATACTTTATTTTCTTTATGTGCTACAGTACCTGTTCGATACAGTTTTTGAAAACAAAAGTACATATTCTTGAAGTATCTCAAAAATTTTCATATTGACTTGTCAATTACCTCAAATTTGACTCCTGTTTCTAGTGTAACCGGCATTGCTTTCAACTCTATCTTTTCATTATCCAGGCTCACAGTATGCTTACCTCTTCTTATCAGTGTCTGGGCAACTGCAAGGGAAATTAAGATTTTCAGATAGCTTTACACTAATGAAAAGTATTCCCTAGTGCCCTTAGCCAAAAATCTCTTTTGCATCACCAAAAGTGAAATAAATGGGAGTGAGGTGCCTAGGTGCCTAGTGGGATTTTCAAAAGCACTTATCTGCTTTGTTAGGTGTTTAAATACCTTTTTAAAATCTCACCACTGTATGCAATGTGCATCACTAGTAAAGTATTTTAGGATCATCAGTATGAAAGATGCTATCCCTATATACAATATTATGGCTAAATCGCTACCAATAAGAAACATTTTGATTCCAGCTGAGAGTTAATTGAGAAATAAGGCAGGCTCTTGCTTTATGTGAAATTTTATTTACTAGTTTGCAAACAAACTATTCTGTTTAATTTCAATCTGGATCAACTAAGTTCCAACCTCCAACTCCACTGCAGGCTCGGGTTGCCTGCATTTTAATGGGGTACAGCTGTGTCTGGAAGAGGCTGATGTAGGGAAAACTGCCCTATATCAATTGGCAAGGATTTACTAATATTGACTACAAGTCTGTACATTAATGTGGTGAAAGATAACATTGACTGATCCAAAGCCCACTGAAGTCTGCAGAAAGACTTGCATTGATCTCCATGGGCTATAAATCAGGCCTCATCCCTCTGTGAGGTAGGATCTATGTAACGGAGGGTCGACTGCGGGTATTCTGTGAACACCTGTCAGCTGAGTTTAATTGGACTAGAGCTGATGCTGACATAGTTGGCAAAATTCTCCTCTCACAAGGTGCAGTTGTCTAACTCTGTGCACTCATCTGAGTGAGTGCAGAATTGAGCTCTGAATGTAGAGAAAGTGGGAGTTATTAACTGATTGTCTCAATACTGTCTTCAACTTTATTTGTGATACCATGAAAATGTTTGCATTAAGGCTGAGAGCCAGATTCTGGTGCTCTTACTCACTGTAAGCAGGTTCCCCCTCCAGCCCTGGAAACCCAGGCTAGTTAGCCCTCCTGGTGATCAAATAAATTGTTGTTTAACCCCATATCCCTTGCTGTTAACGTGAAATACATTAATAGTTATATTTAAAATATGGACCATACCATCCTCCTCTTCAAAAGTGAGAAGAGCTTGTCTTTGCTGCAATCTGAATGGAATTTTTGCAGCTATGTGAAAAAGGCAGCAAGTATTCAAAAATGTGTCATCACTCTCAGCATTTTCCATCCTAGTAAACTTCATTTTCTTTTTCGGTATCTCTCTTTTAATCTAATATTGTAGAACCAAGACAGGAAATGACAAAGTTTAAATAATTTATTAAGCAACTGAAAAAATGTACAGTATGCATCTTGCCTCACTCTGCAGTAATTTTTTTAAGGCTAATATATAGTAGGGCTGAATTCACCACTGATGTAACTGGACTGAAGCAGGACCAAGTAAACCTAGACCATCTCTGACAGGTGTGTGTCTATCCTGTTCTTACAAACTTCCAGTGATGGAGATTCCCCAACCTCTCTTGGATCCTATGTCCCCCTAAGGAGTTTGGTCTGTACACTTTTACTTTTCCTCCCCAATAAACTTTGAGCCCAAACTTGTCCTTAGGTACTAAAACTCCAGTTGAAGTAAACAGGGATTCTACCTGCAGGATCAGAGCTTTGATGTGTAGAACTTTTAACACCAAAGGAAGTATAAAACATTGTGCATAAGCCGATATCACAAAGCAGTTTATGGTTACTGTTTGTGCTACATTGACTGTAGCTCTTTGGTAATAGGAGGCCTGCTAAAATTGCCTTGCACGTTATTAACTTAGTAAAATAAACATGAATGTTACAGTGTTTCATGACATTTGCCGCAGTGTAGCCAAAAGAGAGTTCTGATTCTGAACTCACCCATATTATATCAATATAACTCCATTGACTTCAAATGATTTGCATGCTACAAGTGAGATCAAAATTAGGCTACATGCAATTTCGGAAAACTAAATTGACAATCATGGGGTTTTTTTTCGGTAATGGACAAGTCCCTTTTCTTTTGACTCCCCTTTCTGACAGAGATATAAAATATGAACTCATGAACCTGTTATGCACTTTTTTCTTTCAATTTTTTCCATTAAAACATGTCCTGATCTTTCTTGTATCTCCCAGTTTCATATTTCCATTTTTCCCCTCACTGTCAAGTGCATTTATTAACTTTGCCAGATAGAGAATGAGAAGGAAAGCAATAGCTGAATTTCATACTGAAGTCAATGGAGCTACACAGATTTACAAAACTGATGATCTGGCCCGTAGAGTGTAGAAATTCAGAAGTAAAATGTGTCCATTTGAAAGCTATATTGTAAATATTTCAAATAGCAGTTACCCGAAAATCCTGTGAAAGCTTTGAACTCTTTGCTGCAAGGTCATCTTTGAGCTTCTGAATCTCCCTCTGCAGCTCAATATTTTGTTGCTTTACTACAGTAAGATTTCTCTGCAGATTACAAATATATATATAATGCATAATATGTAGAAGAGTCAAATTCTGGATCTCAGTAAAAAGTACTAGGCACTAGAAATTGGAAAATGAATTTCCGTTTTTAATCTTTTGCTAAAAATAACCAACCACACAACCATCAATGGCATGAACAATTATGAGATAGATTAAAGCAATGGTACAAATTACTATCCAATAGGTAAGTTTGCTGTCCAAGGAACAGCTCCATTCAACTTAAATAAGAAAAGTAAGATTTCTGAAACATATACATCCCACATAAACTTACACTGCACTTTACAAAGTTAGGCCCTGAACTTTCATATACACAAGAGGGATTTATACATGTGAACAGCCTCGTTTAGTTCAATGAAATTAATTGTGTGCATTAAACTATTCATGTGCAGGATGGGGTCCTAGATAATCTATATTCCCTGTCCTGAAGAGTTTACAAACTGAGGGCCAGTTCCTGGCCCCCTCCCACTCCACTCCCTTTATGCCACTCAAGAGGTAAAAGAGAAGCAGAAACCAGCTGCATTTCCACAGCTGGGGATTTCCTAGGTGTAGGGGAATCCTGAGTGGGTATACAGCCAATGTAACCAGTTCCCATGCTAGCTGTCCTGTGGTGCCCTGCATAGGGAACACATCAGGATTAGAAAGGGGACATGGCAGAAGTGATGAGCTCCAGTTATCCTGAACTAGTGGGTGGCTCCTTTAGCACCATTATCAGCTCATGGCATTTACATCAGTTCCCAGACTGCTCTAATATCCACCGGGGATGGTGAAAACAGAAGTTATGGGTTTGATGTAGAAATTACACGGTAAGAGTCTATGCCCCCGGTGTTGTGCAGGTCAGACTAGGTGATCATAATGGTGCCTTCTGACTTTAAAATCTATGAATCCATGATCAGAGCGCCACAGTAGCTCTCTGAGAACATCCCAAAGAGCAGAATGAGTACAGCAGAGGCTTTGGGGTTTAGAGCCTGATTCTGCAAACGCTTGTGCATCTAAGTGACTTTACCAATGAATAATCCCATTGACTTTGGCTGGGAGTACGTACATATGTAAAGTTACTCACATATGTAAAGTGTTTTCAGGATTAGGCTCCAAATAAGATAAGACAAGACACAGAATGATGACAATGCAGAGAGGATACAGATTATTGATAAGAGAAAGAAATAATTGCTTGAAATAGAGGGTTTTCAGGAGGGATCTGAAAGAGGACAGAGACAGCACCTGTAGGATGAGGACAGGGTATTCCAGGTGTAGCAACAAGTTACAAGCACAAAGCTGAGTAGAAAAAAGAAAAAGGGCACAGTGAAGTAAGAGGACTGTGAGTAACATAAGGGGGAAGTAACAACAGAGATGTAGAATGAGGCAAAACCGTGTAGAGCCATGAACATGAGGACAAGGGGCTTGAATTTCATATATTTGGCTACTTACATTCTACTATGTCTGAAGTTCTCTATAAATTAATAATGTACCAGCAAAACAAATTAAATCCATCATTTATTGGCTTGAACATCATCTACATGAAAATCATTATTAAAAATACCTTGGGATACTGAGATGATAGCCTCTGAGCTACAGCTCATAGGTCAAATCGAAAACTGTACTGCAAATCTCTCTCCCAGATAAGCCACAACCATCAGCCCCTGACAGTCTAGGAAGAGTTCACTGCCTATCACTCATGTTCCAAATGCCTAGATTACATACCCCAAGGACAATTACCAACTCATTCTAAAAGGAAGCAGAGGATAACTTTGCCATCCTTAGTAAGTAAACGTTTGTGTCTTTATGCAGCTATGTTAGCTGCAAACTTTCTCAGGTTGCAAGCTCTCTACAGTTATGTAGAAATAACTAACTTTCCTGGATGCTTTTATGAGGAGTTTTATTAGGAAGTTTTGTTTTAAAGTGTTCTTTATGTAATTTGATAGAGCAATTGAATGACCCAACTCAACACAATGTGGACTTTCTGTGCTGTCCGTGGGAGCCTTGGACCAGGTGAAGGCAAATTCTGTTAGCCATCACTTTTTACCTGTGATGTAGAAAGTCTTAGCTTTGCATGCATTCTTTCAAATAATTACTGCAAGATTTTTTTTGATTTTTTTTTATCGTGTAACTTCTGATTTTTTTTATAAAATGATGTGCTAAATATTCTGGCCCTACAAAATGTAGCTCTGATGGAGTTGTTTGGATTGAAAGGGAAAAGTACTCCAACCTACAAGGAACACTTCTACAGCTCTTCTCCAAATGTTGATAGCTATGGGTAAATTCTCTTATTACCTCCTGGTTTTCCTTTTTTATCATGCTCTCCTTATATTGCTCCTCTTCTAAATCCATTATCTTTCTCAGCTCATCTCGTGCCTGGTCTCTCTTTTCATCAGCACTTAGTTTCAAAAGAAGGAGCTCATCTTTTTGTTTTTCAGCTTTTTCCAGCCTTTCCTTGACATTGAAAACAACAAGTACTTTAGTATATTTTCATTAGAGCAAACAAAACATTGTAAAGTCGGTTTAAAAGCAATCTTTGGGCAATTTTTTTCTTTTGGACACATGCACGCTGCTGCTGCTGACTTCAGTGGAAACCTAAGAGCTGTACAGTTCATACGCACCTTCCATTTTTCTAGTTCTTCTTTAAGATTGTCAATTTCATCTATCTGTGTGCCAGAATGGTCAGTAACTTTCAGATTCTAGAAAGACAAGAAAATGCACAGTACTATTTTTTCACTCTATAATATCACAAGATATGTCACGCTAGAGAGACTACATTCACTTGTTAAATCGTTATCTGTACAAATCATACCAGCAGTGTTCAAACTATACTAGTAAACTGAAAAGAATAACACTTTGTACTAGTTTGAAATATTTTGCCACTGTAGTTATTAGTTAATCAGTGACATGACAGTCCAGTTCTTGACTGAGAGCCTTTTGCTGCTTCTCTGCAACTCTGCCAGTCCAGATGGGTGATGGGGAGAAAGTGCTGATTAGGCAAATCTGATAGAGACATGCTGAATTAGATATTCCCAGTATTTTCATGCAGAAGTATAACAGATGCACTATAACAATGAGTTTCTCATTTTTACTCTTTCACTTCAATAAGTCTTGACAGTTAGACAGAAATCACTGAACTACTGCTGTGGTTGGAAAGGATATAAATCTCAGAAAATGGATTTTGGTCATTAAACACGGGGACCTAATTGGAACTATTATCCAACTGCAAACTAGGGCTAATAGTTCTGACACATCGTGGAGGCATGCTGCCCCATGTTCTTCCAAAAAGAACTAAGATCAGTGTGGTCAACTGAGGTCAATGGGTTTACTCACAGTGTATAAAGTTATATAGATAGCCTTGGCAGAATTTGATTTTTTTTTTAAATAATTTCAATGGATAATATCAATGTTTATTTTTAAGCATTTTTATCAATTTAAATTTTCACAGTTGTGGGAAATTATGGGGGAGTAATAACTATTTAATGCTAGCATCTGTTGAGATTCAAAAAGTTAAAGCTTTATAATTGTTAAAACACAATTTGTCATCATCACATCAAAATATACAAAGCAAATGTCCTTCAATCAACAAATCATACTTGTTTTTACTATTCATTTCGCTAGTCCATTTGTAACAAGTCTAATACAAAAGTTTCAATCAATACTTGAGCAGCATTTTCCTTACTTTGCCTATTTGTAAATTTCAATTATTATTGATGGAAATTTTTGTCACTTTGTGTGTGAACAGTGAAATTGACATTTACCAACAAAATTCTAATCCCTCCAAGCCGAGTTATAGGTGTATAAGTCTTTGCAGGAGCAGGACCTTAGATGATTAGGTTGCCAAGAATAACATAGGGAGGGAAAAATAGGATCAAAAAGTATTTCAGAACTTAAAAATTAGAATGCAGAAGTTCACATACAGAGAAAACTTGTAGCTGGGCTGAGCACCAGAAATGAAGGAAAAACCCTTCTTGCTCCATTTTATTTCTGGTTGCAATATTCTAAAAGAGAAAATTCCAGAAAGACCTGCAGAAAAATCCCTCTTGTTTCACTTAAGATTACGTAAAACTGGAATGTGAATCATAAAATTTAGGCATAGAAAAGACCCATTAGGTAATCGAGTCAGTTTCCATGCCAAGCTGGATATTCCACAAAATATTTCCTACAAAATATTTTCCAGTGCTTTGTCCCGTCTAGTTTTTTTTTTTTTTTTTTAAGTGTGAAAGGAAAAGAGAGAGAAAGGAGATACAGGCTATAACTGGAAACTGTTCAGAAAAAAGGAATGCGTATTTATTACTGAAAAATATCTTACAGCACCAGCTAAACATCTCCATTTAGAGATCTCTTTTTCAAATAGATTCTTACAGCATGGCACAACAGAAAATACTTACAATAAAGTCATCTTTTAAGGAACCTGGTTGACTTGTTAAATCCATTGAACCCTGAGGAAATAGAAACAATACACCACTTTCACAATATGTAGACTATACAGGATAGTATAATAACCTGAGAGCAAGACATGCCAAGATTTCTACAGTGCACAACTTAAGGCTTTGATACGGCAAACACTTAAGCATGTGTTTAACTTTATGCATACTGCATAAAGTTAAGCATGTGCATAAATCTTTGCAGGTCTGGGATTTATGGAAATAATCTGCACATCTCATGCTTACACTGAAGTTTGATTTAGTCTTGAGGAAATTAATATTAATGCAATAAAACTGCAAACTAACTTAACTGAGGCTCATATTGGAAATCTGATCCATGAATAGAATTCTTATTAGTGTCAATTGGAAATTTTTGCACAAAAATGGATAACGGCCTTTCCTTTTGTATGTATTATTTGTATTGCAATTGCAGCTAGATGCCCCAATTAGGATCAGGATTCCACATAATACTTGTGATTGTATTGAATGCAGGCACTGATGCTGATGTCATGTCACATTATAGTACATATTATCAAAGAATCAATGTTAGAGAAAACAATTTGTTATCATGGCAGGACTTGTTTTCACAATAATGTTAACTAGCTAATCACAACAATCTTGTGAGGGAAGTAAAGCACTTAACTATGTTAGAGATGAGGAAACAGACAATGAATAAAACCATCTCTTGGTTATTTCCCTACATAACACAAAGTATGATGATTTTAAAAATAATTATTTTACCAGAATAATAGCATCCTAGATAAATATACAGCTAATTAGATTTTTTTCAGTATAAAGATTGTTTATTATTTAATAAAATAGAAACAAAGATAAAAAGAACATACTTCATTATGAGTTATAAGGCCAGTGTTCTATTATATTTAATATTACAATAATACGAGGATGTTCATAAACATAGTAATGAACACACTGGAAAAAGTTTATCCTGGAGGTAGTAAAGTTCCATATAAGAGCAAGGATCCACTTGTGTACATGTGATGTCAGGGCAGGGCGGGGGCTACAAACGTTTTCAGAGTTGTCCCCTTAGCTTTCAAATATTGTATGCACTTGCTTAATTACATGCAAGTAGTGCATTAGCAGGATCAGGGTGGTGTTAATTTTTATGTGTTTATCTTGTTGTGTCACGACCACACCTTCCCTTCTGCAGTATTACCAACCCCAAGTGTTCCAAATAATCATGAGGCAGGTTTAAAATGTTAGATTTTTTCCCAAAAAAGGGTTAGTTTTATGTGATTTCTGGTTTCCAAGCTTTCAAGCATACTTGGGTTACATTTTTAAGCTTTTCTCTGCAACCAGGAGGGCTAGAAAGTTGCACAGCTTTTTCTGGTTTTATTTTAATGAAAGCTGCAATTCTCACACATTCACTTGTCTCTAGGAGGTGGGGCTTACAGTAAAACTTCTGTAAGCCTTGCGATAAAATCACAAGTTAGCACCACTGCTTCTGCTTGGAAAGCACCTAGAACACTTCGAGTGCCATTCAAAAGAAATAACAGTAATAATATTATCCACATAAAAATCTGCTATATGTAACATACCAAATCATAGAAACATAGGACTGGAAGGGACCTCGAGAGGTCATCTAGTCCATTCCCCTACAGTCATGGCAGGACTAAGAATTATCTAGACCAGCGGTGGGCAACCCGTGGCCTGTCAGGGTAATCTGCTGGTGGGCCGCGATACAGCGTTTACATTGACCGCCCGCAGGCGTGGCCACGGTTCGCCATTCCCGGCCAATGGGAGCTGTGGAAAGTGGCAGCCAGCATGTCCCTGTGGCTCGCGCCGCTTCCTGCAGCTGCCATTGGCCAGGAACGGTGACCCATGGCCACTGGGAGCTGCGGGCAGCTGTGTCTGCAGACGGTCAATGTAAATAAACTGTCTTGCGGCCTGCCATGGGATTACCCTGACTGGCCACGTGCAGCCCACAGGCTGCCCACCACTGATCTAGACCATCCCTGACAGGTGTTTGTCTAACCCACTCTTAAAAATCTCCAATGATGGAGATTCCACAACCTCCCTAGACAATTTATTCCAGTGCTTAATCACCTTGACAGTTAGGAAGTTTTTCCTAATCATAGAATCAGAGAACTGGTAGGGACCTTGAGAGGTCATCTAGTCCAGTCCCCTGCACTCATGGCAGGACTAATTATCTAGACCATTCCTGACACGTGTTTATCTAACCTGCTCTTAAAAATCTCCAATGATGGAGATTCCACAGCCTCCCTAGGCAATTTATTCCAGCGCTTAACTTTTCCTAATGTCCAACCTAAACCTCCCTGGCTGCAATTTAAGTCCATTGCTTTTTGTCCTATCCTCAGTGGTTAAGAAGAACAATTTTTCTCCCTCCTCCTTGTAACAACCTTTTATGTACTTGAATATTTATGATGTCCCCTCTCAGTCTTCTCTTTTCCAGACTAAACAAACCCAGTTTTTTCAATCTTCCCTCACAGGTCATGTTTTCTAGACCTTTAATCATTTTTGCTGCTCTTCTCTGGACTTTCTCCAAATCTTTCCTGAAATGTGGCGCCCAAACCTGGCACAATACTCTAGTTGAGGCCTAATCAGCACAGAGTAGAGCGGAAGAATTACTTCTTGTGTCTTGCTTACAAGGCTCCTGCTAATACATCCCAGAATGATCGCTTTTTTTGCAACAGTTTTACACTGTTGACTCATATTTAGTTTGTGGTCCACTATGACCCCCCAGATCCCTTTCCACAGTACTCCTTCCTAGGCATTTCCCATTTTGCATGCGTGCAACTGATTGTTCCTTCCTAAGTGGAGTACTTTGCATTTGTCCTTATTGAATTTCATGCTATTTACTTCAGACCATTTCTCCAGTTTGTCCAGATCATTTTGAATTTTAATCCTATCCTTCAAAGCACTTGCAACCCCTCCCTGCTTGGTATCATCCACAAACTTAAGCGTACTCTGTATGCCATTATCTAAATCATTGATGAAGATATTGAACAGAACTGGACCCAGAACTGATCCCTGCGGGACCCCACTCATTATGCCCTTCCAGCATGACTGTGAACCACTGATAACTACTCTCTCTGAACAGTTTTCCAACCAGTTTTGCACTCACCTTATAGCAGCTCCATCTAGGTTGTATTTCCCTAGTTTGTTTATGAGACGGTCATGCGAGACAGTATCAAAAGCTTTAATAAAATCAAGATATACCACATCTACCGCTACCCTCCTATCCACAAGGCTTGTTACCCTGTCAAAGAAAGCTATCAGGTTGGTTTGACATGATTTGTTCTTGACAAATCCATGCTGACTGTTACTTATCACCTTATTATCTTCTAGATGTTTGCAAATTGGTTGCTTAATAATTTGCTCATTATCTTTCTGGTTACAAAAGTCAAGCTGACTGGTCTGTAATTCCTCGGGTTGTCTTTATTTCCCTTTTTATAGATTTGGCACTATATTTGTCCTTTTCCAGTCTTCTGGAATCTCTCCCATCTTCCATGACTTTTCAAAGATAAACGCTAATGGCTCAAATATCTCCTCAGTCAGCTCCTTGAATATTCTAGGATGCATTTCATCAGGCCCTGGTGACTTGAAGACATCTAATTTGTCCAAGTAATTTTTAGCTTGTTCTTTCCCTAATTTAGCCTCTGATCCTACCTCATTTTCACTGGCATTCATTATGTTAGACGTCCAATCACCACCACCTTCTTGATGAAAACCGAAACAAAGAAATCATTAAGCACCTCTGCCATTTCCACATTTTCTGTTACAGTTTTTTCCCCCTCATTGAGTAATGAACCTACCCTGTCCTTGGTCTTCCTCTTGCTTCTAATGTATTTGTAGAATGTTTTCTTGTTACCCTTTACGTCTCTAGCTAGTTTAATCTCGTTTTGTGTCTTGGCCTTTCTAATTTTGTCCCTACATACTTGTGTTATTTGTTTATATTCATCCTTTGTAATCTGACCTAGTTTCCACTTTTTGTAGGACTCTCTCTTGATTTTTAGATCATTTTTAGATCTCCTGGTTAAGCCAGGGTGGTTTCTTGCAATACTTCCTATCTTTCCTATGCAGTGGGATAGATTGCTCTTGTGCCCTTAATAATGTCTCTTTGAAAAACTGCCAAGTGTCTTCAATTGTTTTTCCCCTTAGACTTGCTTCCCATGGGATCTTACCTACCAACTCCCTGAGTTTGCTAAACTCTGCATTCTTGAAATCCATTGTCTTTATTTTGCTGTTCTCCCTCCTACCATTCCTTAGAATCATGAACTCTACCATTTCATGATCACTTTCACCCAAGCTGCCTTGCACTTTCAAATTCTCAACCAGTTCCTCCCTATTTGTCAAAATCAAATCTAGAACTGCCTCTCCCCTAGTAGCTTTCTCCACCTTCTGAAATAAAAAATTGTCTCCAGCACATTCCAAGAATTTGTTGGATAATCTGTGCCCTGTTGTGTTATTTTCCCAACAGATATCTGGGTAGTTGAAGTCCCCCATCACCACCAAGTCTTGTGCTTTGGATGATTTTGTTAGTTGTTTAAAAAAAAAATCCTCATCCACCTCTTCTTCCTGATTAGGTGGTCTGTAGTAGACTCCTACCATGACATCCCCCTTGTTTTTTACCCATTTCATCCTTACCCAGAGATTTTCAACAAGTCTGTCTCCTATTTACATCTCAACCTCAGTCCAAGTTTATACATTTTTAATATATAAGGCAACACCTCCTCCCTTTTTTCCCTGCCTGTCCTTCCTGAGCAAGCTGTACTCTTCTATACCAATCTTCCAGTCATGCATATTATCCCACCAAGTCTCTGTAAAGCACATAAACAAGAGTACTTTATAATGAAGTGTATTATTTTCTTTTTATTTGCACTTTACAAGCCACCAAAATCTCTTTATACCTAAACAAAACGCTGCCTAAATGGCCATTGATCCCCAGGACAAGTAACTTCTGTTATTACTCTTTAAAACCTTGGTGACTGTGATTATTTACCATCATGTGTGTTCCGTGTACGGTCAATAACCAAGAGGTGTTTTTCAGAGCGACAGCATCACACCCAGTCCCTGGGGTGCATGCGCCTTTACAACCCGCCCTTAGGAAGCCAGCTTGGAATTTGCGCTCGCATCCTTCCCTGGCCGTAGCCGCTGCCTGGCCCATGAAGACCCAGCTCTTTAAGGGAACCCAACCCAGACGGGGCACGCGCGGCAGGCACCTGCCCGGTCTGCCAGCACCGGCAGAGCCCACCCCACCGGCTCCCGGCTGCCATCACACTGCGCGCTGACTTTCAGTTTCGCTTTCGGAGCGGAGGCCGGGGCTAGGGAGGGGGCGGCGGCGCGGAGCAGCGTGCCCGCCCGGCCGGCCCAGGCTGCACTTACAGGGGTGGGGGGGCGGCGAGACAGGCGCTGCTGTGCGTGGATCGGGTCCCCCGGCGCGCTCCAGCCCCCGGGCCCGTGGAGTAGCCGGCGAGCAGGCAGCAGCACTAGCGGCCGCAGCTGGTCTGCACTTCCCGGCAATGACGTGGCAGGGAGGCGTTTGCAGGGGCAGCCTGCCCGCAATGACGCCTCCCCTCCGCCCAGCCCCAGCGCGCCAGCGCAGGGGGATTGCAGGGGCTGGGCTCTCAGCCGTCAGCGTCCCCACCCCTCGGGCAGCGGCTTCCGTCACCGGGCGCGCTGGAAAATTACTCTCTGCCCAGCCCCGGGGAGCCTTGTGCCGCGCTCCGGAAACAGACTCCAGTGGGAACCAGCCGCTGTGGTCGGGGTGGCCCTGTTTTACCCAGCCAGTGCACAGGCGTCCTGCGGGGAGACGCCGCACCCTATGGGGTCGGCTCCCTTTTCCAGCCATGCTGGCTCTCATCCAGAGCTGGCACTGTAAGGCACCCTGCTCCCATGTTATGGGCATCAGAGCTCCTGCCAGCCCAGCTCTGTATGTTATCCACCTGGATCCAGCACTCCAGAATATTTCCCGATGCGGCTGCCCCTCAGTTAGTCCCTTCTAGCACCTCTCCCCCATCTGGATTCCTGCTCCCTTTCCACACTAGCATATTGCAGGACGTAAGGAAGGACTAACCTACACTAGAAGCAGTGGTGGATTAGCCAACGTGGCCCATGCCCAGGGCACCCGGCCAATTGGGGGGGTGGAAAAATTGGCACGCCTGCGCCCCAACCTGCTCTGCCCACCCGGCGCTTCTGTCAGGGAGTGGGGTCGGGGTGCAGGGGCTTGCTCAGCCTGCCTGGCGCTTCTGCCAGGGAGCGGGACAAGACCCCGTGCCCTGACCCCACTCCCTGGCAGCAGCACCAGGCAGGCGGAGCGGAGCAAGCCCCAGCGCCCCAACCCCACTCCCTGGCAGAAGTGCCAGGTGGGCAGAGCGGGTTGGGGTGCAGGGGTGCCCCCAATTGGCCAGGGCCACCGGCATGGGCCATGTTGGCCCAGTGGCTAATCCGCCCCTGCTTCTAGATGCTCTGTGCCAACGTGAGAGAGCTTTCCCGTTGGCATAATAAACCCACCTCTGCCAGAGGTGATAGCATCAGTGGGAGAAGCTCTGCTGAGGTAGCACTGTCCACACTGGCACTTAGGTCAGTGTAATTTACATTGCTTGGGGGAGGGGGATACTTATTCACACCCCTGAATGACATAAATTATGCTGACATAATCTGTAGTACACCTCTATCCCGATATAACGCTGTCCTCGGGAGCCAAAAAATCTTACCGCGTTATAGGTGAAACCGCGTTATATCGAACTTGCTTTGATCCACCGGATTGCGCAGCCCCGCCCCCCCGGAATACTGCTTTACCGCATTATATCCAAATTTGTGTTATATCAGGTCGCATTATATCGGGGTAGAGGTGTATACACAAGCCCTAAGATTGGGAGTAGACTGGGAATGGAGCAATCCAATAGAAGGTCCATGGCTATGCAGACCTAATTGCCACACAGCAAAGAGGTATGCAGTGTAGTTGTAGCCGTGTTGGTCCCAGGATATTAGAGAGTTAAGGTGGGTGATATATCTTTTATTGGACCAGCTTCTGTTGGTGAGCGAAACAAGCTTTTGATCCACAGACATAGGCACTAACTCCATGGGTGCTCCAGGACTCAGCACCCACCAGCCACCCAGCGATCAGCTGCTCAGCGGGCCCCACCAAAAAGCTGTTTGGTGGCACCAGCGGGCAGGAGGCACTGGGGGGAGGGTTGGGAAGAGGCAGGAGGAGGGTGGGGCCTCAGGGCAGAACAGGGGTTGAGCACCCCCCAGAAAGAAGAAAATTGGCATCTATGCACACAGAGCTCTTCCTCACAGCTGGGAAAGGTACTCCCAGCATCACAGCAAAATGCAAGGTAAAAGAGATTTTTTTAGCATAAGTAGTTAGCATATATTGTAAAGGAGCATTCAAGGGAGAGTGACCTGCTAGGGTTGCAGCAAGTATTCTAGGCCATGGCACGTGGCTGTGAGAGAGGCTGCATGCCCCCCACCTTACCCTATAGAGGGGGAGTAGATTCTTCCCCCCAAGTCCCGTGTAGTTCCCTGCACAAAGAATGTTTACCTGAGCTCTGTGCATAGTGAGTGGATTTAACCCGTAGTGCATAGTCAGTCCACTCTTTTGAAAATATAACTTGTAAATTGTAAATGGAGCTGGTATGTGTGACTCTGGAAAGAACCTTACGTAGATAAAGGGAAGAGTGAGGAGGTGATAACATGTAGCTTAGATACAAAGACTTATGAAAATCTGAAAATTTCCCTGACAAGCCTGGATTGATGGTGAATTGGTTCTTCAGCATGATGAACCCTCTTGATATATCTAAAAATTAGAGGTGGAAAAGACATATTCGATATTTCAGATGAATGTTGTCCCTTCCTGTTGCTGGACAGCCCCAGGATTAGCGGTGGGGGGCTCAAAGGTGCTTATAAGTGCTTAAAAGGACCTTTGCACTCAGCTCCCACCCCCCGCCACTGAGCTGTGCCCAGTACAGCTTAACCACAGCTCAGGATCTGGATCACAGTTGTAACACTGCACCCCATATTTTCACAGGGATATTATTATGATAGGATTATGGCATAATTATGATGCATTTTGTACAAGATAAGTCATGAGGTGTCATTGAAAAAGTTATGATTTGCTGAATATGATTATCTTATTTGTATGCATGTATCATTTTTGTATCTGAAGTTATGAATATTGCTTAGGGATCTGTATCTCAAATGGGCTTACTCTGGAAAACACCCACAACCAGCCTTTCAGGTACAACAATGAAGAAGCCAGATGTGGCTGATGGCCCATCAGCAAAGACAATGAACTGTGGAATAGTTTAACCTTCCTATGGGCGTTTTGGCCAGTCTGTAAGCAATGGCTGCTATAACACTGCAAGGACATGACCAGGCCACATGATTCTGGACTCCATCTTGGGATGTCAGTATTTTTCCATAAACCAGTCTGGGAACCAAGTTTTGAAACAAAGGGTTCCTGCTGTATGCTAAAGCTATATAAGGCAGGGAGTGACATCATCTGTTGTTCTTCACTTCCCACACAAGGAGACTCTTGGGGAACAAAGACTGAACTGGGGGAAATGCTGGACCCAGGCTAAAGGGATTTCTAGCCTGTGTATAAAAGACCTGGGGATTCTAAGCTGTAAAGCAAGTGCACCTTGCCCCTTAAAAATCTGTAGCCTGCCTGTACCATCAATTAGGGTGAAAATCAGATTGGATATGAATTAGCAATCTAGTATATTAAGTTTATCTTGCATTTTTGTTTATTCACTAGGTAATCTGCTTTGATCTGTTTGCTATCACTTATAATCACTTAAAATATATCTTTTGTAGTTAATAAACTTGTTTTTGCTTTATCCGAATCAGTGATTTTGGTGTGAAGTGTGTGGGAATCTTAGCTCAGAGGGGCTGTTGTATATTCCTCTCCACTTTGGGGGGGAGGTGAACTGGATAATAAATTCATACAGGTTGGGGTTTGGACCAGGGCAGGACAATACCGCTCTAGGGTCCTAGGCTGGAAAGCTGGGAGTGATTTTGGCTGTAGCCTCCCTATTGTTGGTTCACATGCAGTGGCTGGTCAGAGAGCCTGCATGTAACTGCAGCTGGGTGTGTCCCTATCTGTGTGGATGCTGATGGAAGTGTAAGACCGGAAGCATGTCTGTAGCTTGTCACAGCAGCACAGTGTGAGAGGGAGCCCAGGCTGGTGGGTCAGAGGGCTCAGTGGTCCCGCAGTTCCAGGTGGCACCCCGGGGGGAACCCATCACAACAGTAATTAAAGATCCCAGGGCAGTTTTGAAGAAGTAAAGTTTTCTGATATTCATCTTCAATTTATCCTTTTTCACTTTAATTCTTGTCAGACCAGAGAAATATATCTGAGTGGGAGAATCTAACTGTACTTAGGTGCCAGATACCTCTCTCCTATAATACAAAGCATGATTGGAAGGATCCATTTTCCACCCCAAAATGGTTATGAATTAAACAGTCAATACTGATTTGCATTATTTACAGGAAAGCTTCTGTCAAGGCTCCTTCCCCACTCTGAACTTTAGGGTACAGATGTGGGGGCCTGCATGAAAACTTCTAAGCTTAACTACCAGCTTAGATCTGGTTTTGCTGCCACCACTCCCAAGTGCTAATTCCCTTCCCTGGGTAGCCTTGAGAGACTTCTTCACCAATTTCCTGTTGAACACCGATCCAAACCCTTGGATTTTAACACAAGGAGAATTTAACCATCCCCCCTCCTTTCCCCCACCAGTTTCTGGTGAGTTCAGATCCAACCCCTTGGATCTTAAAACAAGGAAAAATCAAGCCAGTTCTTAAAAAGAAGGCTTTTAATTAAAGAAAGAAAGGTAAAAATCATCTCTGTAAAATCAGGATGGAAAATAACTTTACAGGGTAATCAAACTTAAAGAGCCCAGAGGAACCCCCTCTAGCCTTAGGTTCAAAGTACAGCAAACAGAGATAAACACTCTAGCAAAAGGAACATTTACAAGTTGAGAAAACAAAGATAAAACTAACACGCCTTGCCTGGCTGTTACTTACAAGTTTGAAATATGAGAGAGACTTGTTCAGAAAGATTTGGAGAGCATGGATTGATGTCTGGTCCCTCTTAGTCCCAAGAGTGAACAACCCCCAAAACAAAGAGCACAAACAAAAGCCTTCCCCCCACCAAGATTTGAAAGTATCTTGTCCCCTTATTGGTCCTTTGGGTCAGGTGTCAGCCAGGTTACCTGAGCTTCTTAATCCTTTACAGGTAAAAGGATTTTGGTGTCTCTGGCCAGGAGGGATTATAGTATTGTACACAGGAGGGCTGTTACCCTTCTCTTTTAGTTATGACAGCTTCTGAAATATGTCCTAACAATTTTGGAATGTTTCAGTTCCACTCTGACTAAGGTCCCGGAACATTAGTGAGTTAGTCCAGCAGCCCCAGCACAACCACTAGAAAGAAAACAATGAAGTAAATAGAATTTAAGAGATGCAATATTTCGTTTGAGCCAAATCCTGGTTCTTTGGCTACAAA